AAAATGCCAAGGACACATGGCACAGTGGATAAAGGCGTTGGCTAGATCCATTGACAGGACCCAAAGAGTGTGAGTTCAATACCTGGTTAAGGCGGTGGGGAACGTTAAGAGGGGAATTAACAGGAGATAACTGATAACTGACATCCATTAGACATGGCACGTGGAACTGGAAAAGTCTACCCCAGTGAGCGAATTAAAGGTCTTAGTTCGACATTCCAATCACCTGAAGAAGGCCGGAGGGTACAACGGCCGAAACGTTGTAATAAATATGACAAAGATGAGGACAAAAGTCAGAATAGTAAAATTAAATTTAATTTAAATTCATAATAAATTTGCGTCATTTCAAGTTTTTGACAATTGATTTAATGCTTCCAACGCACTTTTGTAAAGTTTGAAAAACTCATTTAATTAAAGTTTTAGATAAATCATGAAATAAGTAACGAAGTAATCGTTCAAAGTATTGCGGTTAATCGTACTGCGTAATTTTGCGTGTATACATTTTAGATATATTAACCTACTGTCAATAATTTCATTTCGATTTTACATATACATTTTTTGTTATTTTCACTTCTTATATGACCCATAGAATTTTTCTGTACGTAAAACTTTTATAAAAGTCTTAAAAGCTAATGTTCCCCCTCCTCAAAAAAAGAAAAAGAAGTAAAAACGGAAAATAATGTTTAGTGGTTTATTTTGAAAATTATTGATGGTCATAATTTTAGAACAATATATACGCAGCTCAGCTCAAGGGGTTGAGTCCAATTAAATTTCTGTTTAGTTCTCAGTTTCAGCCAAAATTCGGAGAACGAACCCCTCCAGTTCCTCCAGCATCACGAAATTAGAATGAAGAAGAAATTGAAATTAGAATTGAACATGTTTCTCTTATCCAGGAAGCTCGACTTACATGGACGAAACCATAGCGAATTCGGCCACAGACGCTCAATATTTAGGTCTCACATTTTACAGTTCCTTTACCACGTATTTCTGTCGATCTTTTTCAACACTGTTTCTTTATTTTGTGTAGCGTCAACAATCTTGTTTATATCCTGAAATAAAGAACGGTGTGATGAGTCACAAACCACGAAGAGGATTTTTTGCCCACTTTAAAATTAAACCTTAACTGTTTCTTACTTACAGAGAAATAAGTAAATAGCTTATTTGTAATGGAAACTAATGATATCTACATTTATTTACGAAGGTAAGTCTTCTCTTGCATAAAATCAGCTTTAAGTTAATTGATGTCAGATGCAATCACGGTTGACTCATTGATCGTAATTTTTGGCTCTTCTAATATACTTGTTAATTGACGCTGCTTTCTCTAATGATGTCATGTTTTAATTGTATCAAGAAAATAAAATTTCCCGCTCGATGTTAAGTCGTATTTTTTCGGCATCTTATAAAGGGAATAGAATAAAATAAAAATCATTTTCGAATTTTAAAAACAAACAACATTCCCTATCTTCGTGTTTACTTCCGAGTTCTCTCCTTTTTATCCCTTTCCTATTAGAGAGTTCCTATCCGAGAAAGACTAATTAGTCCTCGTAGTGATGAAGAGGGCAATAAAAGCGAATCAGCTTAGACACAGAGAGTATATGGTGATTTTCAAAGCGTACTTTAGATTTTATACAAGATTAAAAGTATGGTGAGGATATATTTCACTGTTCAGTTATAATTGCTCAGGGAAGACAAACTTGCTGACAATCGCTCAGCATCGAAGTGCTTCAAACGATTTTCTAAGCTGGATGTGGCAAGAGACCAAAAGGGAGGATCGAACTCACTACTCAGTCGTAATTGATTCAAGTAAGACAAGCTCGCTAGCCATTACATCACGTAGAAGTACCCAGAGTTTAGTCATTTCACATAGAAATAAATAAATTCTTCTGGCGTCAGTTTAAACTGACGACATTTTTTCCATATAGTTTGATGCTTTTAGTTTTAGTTTTTATTTCCCTGACTTCAGATGAAAACTTGGAGATTTCTCCGCATAGTATAGATTCAAATTCCAAAAATTATAATGCTAGTTCAAATATGAGAAATCAATGAAGGCGTCAGTTTAAACTGACGCCAAGAGGATATGAATGTGATAGAAAACAGTTTTGAGAAAAAAATTGTAATTCTATAAGGTTTCATTTTAAAGAGGTCATAATTCGGCAACACTGATAATTGGTTCAAATAAACCATGCATTAATAATTATAAACGAAGTAAATAAGAGATAATTACATTTTTTTATGATAATGTTAAGCCTATATAAGGCACGGGGACCACTCAAAGTAGAGGGTTACGTTAGGAGGCAATATATACAGCTAAGAAGGAAAGATAACAGTTAAACCTAAACATGAATGGTTTAAGATTGTAGTGATTGGGAAAACATCCTCTTGGGTGTCTGTTCCACAGAGCAGTTGTTCGCAGGAAGAAGCTGTTTGAGTGGAACTTCTCATTGAAAATCCGAAGACACATTAGGATAGCGAAAGATGTCTTCCAAAAGCTACGCAAAGTGTTAAAAATAATGTCGAGAGAAACAAAGAAAAAAGTACTGAAAAGGTTATGGTATGCCAGAACTCCTCCTGTCAATGCTGGACAATCTCCTGACGGATGAAGAAGACACTTGATGAAACATAAATGTGATTCTACAGAAGGATGCTGGAAATACCATGTGCCGAACATATGAACAATGATGAAGTGGAAGAAAAAAGGACATTTAAACTTAACATCAGGAAGAGTAAGTTGAAATTTCTAGGTCACTTAATGAAGAAAGCTGACTTGGAAAATTTGATACTCACAGGACAGATTGAAGGCAAGAGGGACAGAGAAAATCAATGCATTACCCACCTAACGAGATTGAGTAAATGGATGACGAAACAAAGTTTAGGAGAGATAATAAAAAAAAAACAAAATTTATTAAGTACGACGAAGGATAAACAATTGTGGAGAGTCCTGATCGTCAAAGTCTTGAAGGGATACGGCACATAGAAGAAGAAAAAAAAATTCATATAATATACCACAACCACACTTCCACAAAGACACACTCGCCACATATCTGACAATATTGTCATCAGATAATCAAGCATCATTTTGGACTGATAAAAATTCTAGCGCTATAAAAATGGTAGGATGTAGTCAACAAAATCTTGTTTATTACACTGACAACACCTTGATAATGACATACCAAGGTGCTGTCAGTGTAGTAAAAAAGATATATATGATATACCATAACTTCACTTCACAGAGACACACTTGCCACCTATCTGACAATATACTGATGAGCAGCATAAGGGCTACTCACAAACAATACCAACAGACTAACAATTGTGATCATTGAATCAATACCTATAGAGAAAAAAAAGCAACCATCAATAACTAAAAATAATTAGAAATTAAGAGGCCTCCACCTTATATATATATATATATATATATATATATATATATATATATATATATATATAACGCACAGACGTCATACCTCGCATCTGTCACAGACTTTGCTTACGTTACAACGCTCATGATGAGTTCAACGACTTTAGATAGAAAAATGCACTCGACGCGTTTTCATCACAGAATTCCAACATGTTTTTTTTTTTTTTTTTTTTTTAAGATAACATTGTTACTCCATTTCAAAATTTTGCTAAACTTACCAATTTGTAAGTACCTACTGTAAGGAAGACTTAAGAAATTCGAGATCTTGGAGCATATTTCTTATACACTTCCTCCAAAATGAACTTCGGACAATTCCTGACGGAATTTCCACCTTGACTGAGAAGGATCATTCTTCACTCTTAACTTGGAAAAGTCGATCTTTAAAGTTAATATATTTGTTGATGGATACGTTTTCGAAAGATTGCAAGTTATTTAAAGTCGGAAATAATTTTTTGATTGCAAGAAATTTTTGGTGAGGAGATATTAATGGTTTAGCGATGCAAGTCTTGCTAATTAATCCATAGGTGTGAGGAGAAGAGGTGGATTCATACATTTCCTCGGGGAAGTGAATATAACTAACCCAACTAAAACTTGAACTTGCTCTCCAATTATCAATTCCGAGCCATTTACCATTACATCACCAGCACATACAAGCTTACACCACCTGGTCAGGCGGTCACCCATCTACGTATTGACCAGGCTCAACGTTGCTTGATCACACACACACACACACACACACACACACACACACACACACACACACATATATATATATATATATATGTGTGTGTGTGTGTGTGTGTGTGTGTGTGTGTGTGTGTGAAAGTTCGCATTGAATTAACACCCAAATGCAACAGTCTGTTTCCTGCTTAAACGTAATCATCACGTCATATATATACTACAGTTCAAAAGTTTGAGAAAACCCCCAAAACTACTTGGCCGTAAAACTACTTGGTTTGTACTTTAAATAAGAGAAAATAATTATACATGAATAAAAAATGTGAGACATGATTTTTGTTGTCAATGTTATTATGACTAAAAGAAAAAAGAAACATTTTATGATTAAATCGTCAAAATATCCTCCTTTAGCAGCACAAATTTTTTGGCATTCAGTTTTAAGGTTTCTCAAGTTACAAGTCTGACAATAGATTCCATTTGAATTGTAGTTTATATATATATATATATATATATATATATATATGTGTGTGTGTGTGTGTGTGTGTGTATGTGCGTGTGTGTATGCGCGTGTGTCCGTGCACGCACATATGTGTATTTATATCATTCATGTTGCAGCCACGCCCCCATATGTTTCTATATGCCTATAGATAATAAATATATTAAATTTTTACCCCAAAGTTTTTTTTTTATTTTACAAAAAAGAACACTTTTCCTTAAATACATGCAGTAAACTTTTGAATAATAATAATAATAATAATAATAATAATAATAATAATAATAATAATATGTGCATATATAGTTTTTCAAATAAGTTACATTCAATTATTTGACAGCGGTGATAATTTTCTTCTTTCTATAATTTGAGACTTGGTCTATTTCAAATTCACTACCAATGTATTAAATTTACATGCATGTATTTGATGAAATACTAAATTATTTGATTTATTACATATACTTATTGGAAATAATTTATCTATCTATCTATCTATCTATCTATCTATCTATCTATCTATCTATCTATCTATCTATCTATCTATGT